GTACAGTCCTTAGAAAAGTCTTTTCTTTTTTTTTATCCTCGTATTATCACCTCATATCATCAATGTGTAGTTGGAGGAATCTGTCTTTTCTCTATCACAGATCTGAAGAATTCCAGTCATCAAATTACTTTGATAAATTTAAGGTACTTTTGCTTAGAAATGGACTCAGATGCTTCCCTGCTGAGAGTCAAACACATTTTCAACCACATTATAATAGCATTTTCACTGACTGACTTTCAGCAGTTTGGCACTGAGGCACTAAGGAAGGTTGACCTACAAACTGTAAGTCATTAAAATCTTTACCCCTCCTGGCTACTATATTCATTACTTTTGGGGCTGGTTAATAGCACTTAATGCTTCCTGATGGGAGAGCCCTTTTCATAAAGCTGTTTTGATGAAGCCCATTCTTCAGTTGTGTTCTAATGGTGCCACTTCTGCTGGTTATTTTGGGGTAAGGATATTAAAAAGTTGGTAGCAAAATAAATTCTGTGGTTATTAAACATTCCTAACTACCTGATTTCTCAGCTGAGCTGAAGTAGCATAATTTTTTTTGCTGAACTCAAATATTGGGTGACATGATCTTGTTGATTATTTTACCTCTAATCTTAATCTTTAATATTACTACCTGGAAATAGAAGGCATGTTTTCAGATATTCTGATTTTCAGACTGACCCAAATAAATTTTTTGGGATGGTTACAATTCTGTTATATATAAACTCTACTGTTAGACCTCACTTGATCATATGACCTTGCAATGCCACTCTTAGTTCCATATTTCTTAGGCTTCATTTCCATCATGTCTTATCCTCTTCCTGACAGAACTCCAAATCATTGCTCTACGTTCTACTAATTGCTTCTATGAGCTTTTTTAGAGTTTTGCTTTACTCTAGACATTTTATGCTTCATGATTTTTATTAAGGAGACAATGCAAGGCAAGCATATCAAAACAATTAAATTACTCCAGGTTTTTCATTCTAACACATCCTTTGTGCTGCAGATCCTTTGAAAATGGTAGAAATCACTGTCTTGTCTTAGTATCTCCCATGAATGCTGAGCCTCCATTATGTGTTCTGGATTTGATAAACACTTATGGGCTAAGTGACTCTTCCCGCTAGCACTGTCTTCTAGCTTCTTCTTGTCTTTCATAGGAAAAAGCTTTCTTTCTCATAAAAATTTAATATTTTAAAAAATATTTTCTTTTCTTTTTTACTCATTCATTGATGGGGCACTCTGCTTTTCCAGTGACATTTCTTTGTAGAGGACCATTCACTGTCAAAGATTTAAAGGTCAGTGGCCCATCTTGTAATTCTTTCCAAGGTGTGACCACCCTGAAGATTAAAGAGTATTTAGGATAAATAGTCGATTACTGCAAAATACATATTTTAAAATGTCTGTGTGAAAGCTGGATTGAGTGGTACAATTCAAAGGAAAAACATGCTCGCAAAACACTTTAGGAGTTCATGATTTCACAGAGGTTTATCCTCAGTGTGTCTCATACAACTTCTGCACAATTGCAGTTAGTTTTCATCAAACCTATATTTACTCGTTTCTTCTGAAAATCAAGAGCTAGATCCATTCTTCACACATGTATAAGGTCTGTGGTTGTATGGAGGAACTGGTGAGTTAATTTCAAACAGTACATTTTACAGCAGAAAGATTGTCTAGGACCCTGAGTGTTTCACTGAAAGAAGACTACTTAACTGCTCTAAATATTGCCAAACATAGATGTTAATTACAAAGAATTAATTGCTGAACCAGACCTTAGAGTTTCCAGACCATGTGTTGCGAACCCACAACATTGTTAGATACCTTACATTGCTTGAGTTTAGGCTTTTTTGAATTGGTTTGGTTTTCTTTGCCACTGCTTGTTTTTCTTGTGAAAGTGTGTATTCTACCAATATGTAGAGAACTACAGATGCACATGTAAGTGAAGAAGTTGTCCAAACTGCTCAAAGGTTATCAGACTTCATTATTTTTTTGTCAAAAAATTTTAGGTCAGAGAAATTTCACTTAATCTTGGTAGTTTGAGGATGTCCCTAAAGACTGCAGTTTTTTAAAGCTAGCTACAGAATACCAACCTTCAGGTTTATCATTTAAGATATCCGCCATTTCAAATATCAGTTTTTCCTCTCAACTCCATTTTCCCCCATTTGCTTAAGCTAACTCTTCTCAGCACTGTTTTGTTGGGTTTTTTTCCCTTTTATTTATTTCCATGATTTTTAAGAAAGCACAAATTAACTCTTAAATTATTGGAGAAACTTACTTCTAGAAATGGACATCTAGTAGGTGGAAAGGAGTAATTTTTCTAATGCAGGCAAACTGCAGCTAAACTTTATTCTGATAACAAACGTAATCGTACTGGATTGGATTAGATTAGTTCTCCATCTAGTCCAATACCCTGTATTTGGAAAGGAGCAAAAGCTGCATTGTAAAGGTTGTAAGACTGGAGCTAGTGTGTAGGTCTATAGTTCTTTGAACATTCTGTCAGCTTTGTACAATTTGGAGAGTTTTTGTAAACCAGAGGTAATAGCTTTATACTGTTTCTCTGCAGGGAAACAGTTTGTTCATCCTTTTCAATCGTATAAACTTTTACACTTTTAACATCCATAACATCCAGTAGCAGAAAGTTCCATGGCAGCTGAATTAGAGGTTGTGTGAAAAGCCACCTTTTCCCATATTTTCGCCATTATTCATGATTGTGGAGCTTTGTCATAGCTCCCACAGTCACTTCTCTTCTGTGCTGAAGAGTACTAGTCCACTTCATTGTTTCTTTTACAGAAGTAACAGCCATGGTAATAGTTATGATGATAAGTGACTGTTTAAAATGTATGTTGTGCACATCACCTAATTTAAGCCAAGAGAGGAAGACTCCAGCATGGGGCATTCACAAATACATTTTCTAAGGGACAGAAGTGAACAATGACACCATGATGTCCAGCCCTCATGTTTTTCTCATGTATTGCTAACTTCCATCTATGGAATTTTATTAGACCATTGCACCTTTTATTTATCTGTTACTATGGAGAGACAGTCCACTCTATCAGAGGAACTACGGCACAACCTGTAGATCTTTTTATTATAATGTTTGCTTATATCTTCAGTCTGCTGAAAATTATCTTTTACATTTTCCTACGCACATTGTACTAATTTGTATGCAAGACTGTTTACTTGGAAAGGAAAAGGGCAAAAGTTACATGGTCTGAGCAGTAGGTCATGATTCTAGCACTGCTGTATTTATGCTGTGCAATATTCAATGTTGTTGCATATGCAAAAATACTTACAGCATCTGAATTTCCAAGTATATGAGATATATGTTCATTTTTCCCCCTAAAAAATGCTTTCCACAACTGTTTCTTTAACCCTTCTTAAATGCAGTTGATTACAAAGTTATCAACAGTATATTGAGTTTTATAAGTTCATCATTCTGATTTTGACACATTCTTTTTACAGAAAGAGGAATAAAAATACCATATTTGCACTTTTTAAAAGACCATTTTAATTTAATTGTATTGCCATAAGGTTGTTTTATGTTGTATCACAGACATGTAAATCTTTGCAGAATTACTGTATAACCTTTTCGTCAGTGAGAAGGACTTAGCAAAGCCCAAAAGCCAGAGTAGTAAGGCAATAATGGAGAAGTCACCATAATTACAATATTTTCCTTCATGCGTTCAGCCAGTGACATCTACGAGTTGTGAATTTTTCATTTTCTTTTTCAAATTCAAGGAGCCTTTTAAAACTTAATGCTAAAACAGATGAAAGACAAATGTCAATTGAAATCAATTCGTATTTCAGACTTGAAAAACTTTTTTATACATTTTTAAAACTGTTTTATGCATCATTACTTCCATTTGCTTGCTTCTTATTAGGGCTTTGCTAAGCAATATTTATTTTTTTTAGCTCTTTATTTGCATACTGAAAAAAATTCAGCACAGTGAAGCACAACTGAAGTAACCTGAGTGCCAACAGAGCTGGATTTGATTTTCTCTGTCTCACTGATGAATTCATTCCAAAATTACCTGTTCTAACATTGGCCAGCAATATATGTACAAAGGAGAAATGAAGTCATGAAGTATTGGTTAAAAAACTGTCAGGGAAAGTAAAATGGAAAGTTTCTTTTTTATTTTTCAATTAAAAAGTTTATGAACAGAGAAGTTTTGCAGACATTTTACAGAAGAAAACCTCTTAGTAGTACTGTATTACTGTTCAATTTCTGATTAAATATTTTAAGTCTCACATGGAATGATAATTAATGTTTACGCTTAGTTGCAATGACAATATAAAAATGTCTAAATTAATTTCTTTTTTATACATCTAAATTGTTTCTATTGGGTCTGAATATTATCTGAATTCGTATCGATATTTCCAAACTGTGCAACTCTTGCCTTTGAAGAAATAACGGATACTGCTATGAACAACATACTCCCCCAAAATCTGAGAAAACTCTTGCTTTGTCTTTCTTTGCCTTCGTACATAATTAATACACAGTTAATAATCAACTTTTGAACAAAAGGGAAGCTCTGTTAAATTAGTAAAATCACTGGATAATTTAGATCACTGGAGGTCGCCTGGTCTAACATCTCATCTCTACTCGAAGCAGGGCTGACTTTTGAAGATAGATCCAATAATGTGATGGAAATGTCTCTGGCATTATGAATTTGAGCCTGAACTGGGTGACTTGGACCTCAAGAATCTCCTGTTAGCAGTGTTGGCTAAAGCAGTCAACGCTATTTTTAATAGTGTCTTCTAAAAGAATCAGAGCCACCTATGATATTGCCATCTAAATTCCCAGTTTGCTATGTCCTGCTTTCATAGAAAGATTTTGTATAAAAAGATGAGGCCTCTGGTTAAAAGACTAATAATTTACTTATTTGGCAACTCCCTCATCCAGTTACAGGCAAGCTTTAATATAAGCACAAAGATGCTGCTACATTACCCATGTTTTGAAACACTAGATTGATCTGAATATTTTACATTCATTCCTCTTTTTTTCTTCACAGTGCCAGGATTTCCCTACCCTGCTGCAACTGCAGCTGCTGCTTACAGAGGTGCACATCTAAGAGGCCGAGGTCGCACGGTGTATAACACGTTTCGTGCAGCAGCCCCCCCCCCTCCAATTCCAGCCTACGGCGGGTAAGGAGATCAGCCTCTTTTACCTATTAGCATGAATCTGCAAAGGCTACAAACTATTTGTGATTGTGGTGCATGCTGATCGTGTCTCACCGCAGAAACCAACGCAGCATGCAACCAATCCCACTGCTGGAAGTGGTGCACCTTGCACGGAGTATTGAAAAATGACTGTAATTTGTACTGCCATGGTTGGTGGCCTTAAGCATTTCAGATGTCACATATTGTTATGTAAATATTCTTAGAAACTGAATGCTTTGGAACAGAGAAATTGTTTCAGCTAAAGATATATTTTTGATGATTGCAAACATCTGGCTATTAAGGAGGTTGGATCAAGTTAACTTCTTCTTCTTCAAATCATCCACTGAAAGTTGTCTCTGAACCTGAAGGCTTAGTGGTGTATTTTTTTTTTTAATCTTATTGCAGTCTGTTTAGTTTTTCTAGTTGACATCTTTACCACGATAGAAATTTGGGGTGCTTCTCTCAGAGCCATGTGTTTTTCAGTATGTTTGCTTAAATAATACCTTAAGATTTCACTGTCAGTGACTTACATTTACTAAAACCAAGTAGAAAACTAAGGAACAAAGGAGAGAAATTCATAGTAATAATTTCTCAAATCTCAATAATCTTCTGTTAATTCAGAAGATATATCTAAATTTTTTGAGGTATATTTTTGAAGGAAAGAAGGAGGAAACAAATTCCCCTTGTAGCTCTGTAAATGCTGACACAGAAAGGTTTTGTATGCTGCATATGATATTTAAAAGTCCTAACATTGTCAAAAGATTTTCAGCTATTAAGAAACTGGGAAGTTTGGAAAAACAGAAAACTTGACAGATCCCAGGCCAGAATAGTATTTTGTCATACGAATTTGTGGTAGATATGCCACTACCTCTCTGTAGAGCAACCAGTTCTTTCTGAGAAAAGGTCAGGAAGGGTTTGCAAAGTTTTGGATGAAGGTGATCTCTCTCTCTTGGCCCTCACTAAAGTCCCATTCCACAGCTCACCTGCTCTCACTGTGGATATCCTCTTGTAAGGGAGCTTGCAGCACAAGATTGTGCTATGACCCTGTCCTCCTACTTCGTTATGGTAGAAGATGGGTGTCCTTCACTCGTTCCCTCAGTTTCTCATGAAGCCTTTGTTCTATTAAGCCAACAGGCATGTCTTTTTCTAGACAGGTTTGCAAATCTAGTCAGTCAGCCATTGAACTAAATTTTCAGGGATATTTAGGACAGGCACTTTGACCATTCCTTCACATTGGGCAGTTATCACCTCCGAGAAATTAAACGTTCTAAAAATTAATATAAAAATGAGGCCACAGGATCAGGTTATTTTGTAAAAGTGTATTCTTTTTTAAGTGTTTTGTGTAGTTTAATAAGCAAAATAATATTAATTTAATAAGCAAAACAATATTTACCACTACTGGAGAAAGACATCATGGTTTTTGAAGATTGTCTGAGTTATCTTTGGACAAGGATGGTGTCCCACCAAAGTTATCCTACTGCTGCCCAGACTCTCCTTTAGAGTTAGTCCAGGTATTTGTAGGTGGCAATGATGGTAACAAGTTTAGAATGCCCTAAAAGAGATAGTTTCAATATGAAAGTTTCAGCTATGAAATGGATACTGCATATAAAGAAAGTGGACTCTTTCCATCTCTACTTAGTTTAAAAAGAAATTCTTAAATTTGAACATGGTGTACAATATGTAGCAAGATAACAACGTGGGTTATTACCAGTTTCATGATGTCACGAACATAATACCTTAGTTTAATACAAAGTCATAAGGTAATATAAGAAAATACATACCAGCTATGCATGATACAGTTTTTGAATTGGACAATTCTTCTTTTGTTAGCATATGCAAAATGAGTAAATACTTTCAGACCAGTAAGTAACTTAATTTTGCTTTAATTTAAGGGGCCACGTGTGGGTGCTCTGTGTGTGTGTGTGTGTTATATAAATTTTTATAGTTTAGTTAGTACAGTGACTGAGCAGGACGAATTAAATTTCCAAGTGTAACATGTATATTCTCATGTAATTGTACTGCTTACTTTCAGCATCTTTAGGTAGTGAGTTAAATGTATAAGCGTTGTGAACTCCTGTTGTAAGTTAATACAGAAGTTTTGTATTGCATTTTGACAGTTGGGTTGGACAGATCTCACCTACTACCTTCATGACCTGTCTTTAAAGCTGACTTCAGAGGGAGGCATGCATTGCATCAGTAAGAAGTCACATCTTCTCATTGTTCTGATGACTTCCAGCTGTCTGAGATGAACCTGTAATCTAGGGCTCACCTTGCCAGTCAATATGTTTTCTAACACAATTTTACTCTGCAAAATTTTTCAGTTAGTAAGCTTTGTCTCAATTTAGATAGGTCTTAGTTCAGATATTAGTCAGGTTCAATTTTCTCCATCCACCTATGCTTTATAATAAGGCACTGCTTTCTGATGCACAAAACAAATTTCCAACTTTTGCAATTCATGGATCAGTGCAGAAATAATACATACCTCTGTTGCACTGATCCACAGTTGGATTAACATGGCTTTATTCTGAAATAATTTCTTTGGCCTAGTGTATTAGATCTTGTGCTAGTAACTTCACTGATACAATAGTACAATTTGGAATTTCTTTGCAATGCTTTGTTTTGTGCTCACCCATTATGTACACTGACCTATCAAAGGAGCAAAAAGGAATTTTCATCAGAAAAAATCCTTAATCAATGAGAATAAATTATAAGAATGTTGTTTTCAGTCACAGTGGGAGTAGGAGTCAAGGAAAATTACAGAGGTAATAAAGAGATCACAGAGAATGAATCAACTTACAGAAGGAAGCAAACAACTTGGAACATCATTTGTTGATAAGAAAAATGGAAAAACCTTGGAATGCTATTTCGCAATTCATTTAGTAGCAATTTCTCATTTTTCACTCAAGGAACGAGCCCAGCCTTAGAGCCAAGCAAACAGTTTCATACTAAAATACTTTCAATCATTAAAAAAAAAAAGAAGATACTTATTTTGTATAATGACAGATATAACTTTAATTATAAATATACATTAAATTCCAGCAATGTTTATTTAGAAAAATATTACTTTTCTTTTTAAAAAAGAACCCACATGTAAGTTTAAAATATAAAGCTGAAGTTTGAAATGAACTTTTTAATTTTCTTTTATTTCATTAACGTTAGAAAGCTTATAACTGAAATAAAATATAATACTTGACCTGAAATAATCTTCTTCACACTTACTTGTTTCTATGACAAAGTTTTGCAACTGAAACTGAATCATTTTGCTTTAAATTTGGAAATCAACTGTAAAGCTAAGAACATGTATTTCTTAGACTAGTCTGACATGCTGCTTACTAGTGTTTATCTCAGCAGCAGTCTCAGGATTCTCTGCTCTATAACAAAAGCCACCTTTCTATTCAGTCTCCCTTGAATCTGTAGTTGTTCTTGTTCACTGGTGTCCTGCCCGTGACCTTTTCTTAGAAACTGTTTATCAACAAAGTTAAGAAATGGCAATGCATCCCAGGCTGTAAGGAAATCTAGAAGATCTTGTGGTCATTAGGCAAAACAAATCAGTGTGATTCATACGGAAAGCTCTCTTCTGCTGTGTCTCACAGTTACTGGAAACAGCAAATACAGCACACTGCTAGGTCTGAGGAAAATTGTTGAATATAGCTTTATTTAAGGCCATTGTTTTCTTATAAATTCAAGAACAACACACATGCTTTAAAAGGTGTCATTTAAAAATTAAATCAGTGTTCATGAGATATGTAGCACTACGTAAATAATTCATGGAGCCTTTTCTTGTGAGCGAGGCATTTCACTAATTCCTTGAGATAGTATCTTGTTTACTAGCTCATGGAAAATACTTCATTTTTGGCATCTGTGGCATCATTTCTAATGCCTTGAAATACTACAATGTGCAGCTTCCTCATAACTTTGTATGTATAATTCATTTATGTACCATTTATGTACCATAAACTACTGAAACTGAAATGAGGGAGTAAAACTCCATTTGTATGAGAAAAAAAGCATTTGGAGATGTACATTGCATGGAAAGCTTAGCTTCAACACTACGCTACAGGAGGAAGAGAAGCAAGAGATGGTCGTGTTGTGCATGGCCTGAGCAGTGCACGGAGATCAGAGCCTGTCGGTATGGAAGGAGGTAGCTGTGGAGCTATGAGCTATTGCCTGCTTATCTCAGGGGGCTCTCTGGGAACTTCACAGCAAGATTGGTAACTTGGCTGAGGAGCAAAGCAGTTACTATTTTAAGCTGACTAAGTTCCTTTCATACCTTCTTTCTTGGGACAGCTTCCATGTGGGAGGATTTGAGCTTGCGATTTCTTTGACCTTTCTTGTAGGCTTCTCTCTGGGTACTAGATAGTGTTATGTACAAAATAATTTTTAAATGATAAAAAAAAGACATAAGTGTAAAAACAGTGTCTTCTTGGCTTGACCAGTGTCTTTCTAGGATTGTCTATTTTATTGACAAAGTGCCTACTAATGGTGTAAGAAACATCCTAATAAAGCAGAAGCTGCTAGTAAAGGTACTCTTGTGACATATTTTGGATGCAGTTGGCAGTACTTACATTGCTGAAAGAAAGGAGAAAGAAGCAGTTTTTGTTCTCTTTGGCAAACTATCGAAATCTGGTCATCTGATTTTGATACCTCTAATTGCTTTTGAACTCTGCAGCAACTAGCAGCTCATCATTCTCAAAAATCATCCGCCAAATAGTAAAACATCATGAGTATGATGCTCCATCTTTACACTGCTGCCAAGAAAAGCCAGTGTCCCTGTATATCTGGTAGTATAGCAGATACTAGTAGTAGATAGCAGTATTAGTAAAACTAATGAGAAGCCCTTCTATTCCAGCACCGTTTGCCTCAAGTTCTTCACAGGTTTAGGGCATGATGACTTTGTCTTCACATTTCCCCTCCACTCCTTCCAGTTCTGATGAAGCTAACAGAGAATTAGCTTTCAGTTCATGTCTCCACTTCGGATGTCTTTC